ACCACGTCCCTGGAGTCGCACTTGGCCAGAGGACACACTGGCAAAATTTCAGCATCAAAGCTTACGCGGCTGGCGAGCAGAAATACTCAGAGAGACGAAAACACACACAGACAGGGTCTTCGCAATAGCATTTTTGCTGCCCGTTGCAGCGTTCTAGCGTTGCAAGGCAAAAACGCATAATAAATGAGAAAGCTTTTCAGCCTTTTGAAACACTGCTGTAGAGAGAATTTACGATCACAGGCTTATAAATAAGGCTAAGGACTGACCTCCTTGAAATATTCTAACAAGAAGAGTGCGGTAAGTTTCATCAACGCCAAATTGACTGGTATATAAGCGTCGGTACTCGTTTCTGCAGCCATGTCGTAGAAACGTTTCGCTAAGTGAATATCCTGAAGTTACAGATTAAAATTTCTCAAAATATTTCATGAAAACTCAAAAACTAACCAAATCAATGCGTTTATCTATGAAAAAGATGCAGAAAATAAGACGAAAAAATGATTCAACAGCGAAAAATGTGCGCAATTTTGATGGAAGGTTAACAAAAAAAAACTTTGTAAGAATTATCACTAGACGAGCAGGACAAGTTTTCAAAAAATTTTACAACAGAAATAATAAAAAGCAATGGGCCAATTAAATAAATAACTACTGCACAGGTTCACTTGCAGCAGGAACCGTGGCTGGATTTGTATCGCTACGTTCTAGTGCTGATGGTAACAGAGCACCCGAAAGGCGGCGGTGCTGAAAGCACAGTTAGACTGAAATTAGCTAAGCTTCTCAATTTCTGTTCATAGCCTGGATCAGAAGGTTGCGGAGCAATCCCGGTAAAGTATCACAACTTTTTTCACCTAATGCAATATACAGGAGATTGAATTGGTTGCAAAAAAAGGATGTGAGAAACAAATGGGCAGACTGGATTGTTGAGTGCATTTGCGTGATGGTAAACGAAAAATAGGAAGGATGCCAGTGGAACGGAAGAGATTACTTGAGAGACTGAATGAAACTATGTGGATACGGCAAGCCCAGAATTTGGAAAGCTGCCAGTTGCACTGGTCATAAGCTGGGAACATTGAATAAAAAAATCAGTTATCCAATGCAACAAATATTCTTACTTGTTTCTAAAGCATCTTTATGAACTGTTTTCAAGCCCACTATTCTGGGATTCAGAAAACTGGAAGTTCATCAAGTACCTTATTAATTCCGAGGCCTTGCTCATGCATATATCCGAGATTGAACATTGCCTGTGCTGCCTGATGTCTATCACTTGCAATTTTGTACTGCGTTGCGGCCATTTCATAATCAACTGTTGTCCCGTACCCGTAATAATAATAATCTCCGAGCTTTATGCGTGCGTAAGCATAATCCTGATTTGCAGAGCGCTGCCAGTGAAGCAACGCACGTTGCAGCGCCTCTTCGTTCGGGAATAAGCTTGTCTCGCCTGAAAATTTAAACAGATATTTTCCAGCAACTAAGCAGAAAACATTGCTGTGCTTGCATGTCTGCTTTCATTTCACTGTGATTCACTTCTTTCCTAGGTGTACTATCATTTAACTTCAAACACTAAGAAGCAACAGTTTATGCCTGTATAAAGTACAGCTTCCTACAACTAAATTGATAATGGACCAATGTATTGCACAGTGCATTTCACTGAACCCATTCAACTAAAAACTTCAATCTATTCGTCGAAGAAAAAGACAAAATCTGATTATGGGCCTTCAGTTCAGGCAGCTGAAAGATAACAAAACGTGAGTTATGTCTGTAGATGTTTCTAAGCTCAGTAACCAAGAACTCTCAGAGTACCGGAAAAGCGAGAGGGACCTATCCTACTGAAAAATTCAAAAAGAAATAAATAGCAACACGCACGAGACTAGTCGCTTTTTGTGCAATTCAGCCCATAGAACGACTGCCTATTAATGATTTTCACTGCTTTGTACTTTTGTCTATGCAAAAATAGTTCCACATTGGAAAACAGTTAAAAATTTCACGCACCAGCGCATGAAAGCTGAATTCGAAACCTTGAAGGGAGAATATCTTTCCGTGATTCCCGAGTTAATAGTTTACCCGCCAAAATTCTCGCGAGGCCTTAGGTGATACTCAAGAGCGAGGGAACGCTGAATTTGAATAGGCAAGGTTGAACGTGGGCAGGGGTTATTACCCTAAAATTTCCGCTTCCTAGACTCCGCTGTTCCTGGGATATTAATTTACCCGTAAAAAACTTACACGGAGCCGTACGTGTTACCCGCGGGTACGGGAAGGCTGAATTTAAATTTGCCGCGTCATCCGCCGGCAGAGAACACTGCACCAAAATTTCAGCCGCCTAGCTTTTGTGGTTCCCGAGTTGAAAGTGCGGGACAAAA